TTTTTCTTTCTCCCAGTTACGTCCTGCCACTTTTGCCAGTTGGGAGAATTCTCACGAATTTCCTAGTCTTGCCTCCAGCTCTAGATGTGTGGTTCCACAGCAAACTGATCCAAAATGAAATGTACAAGTCGGTCACCCAGTGATGACCTTCATGGATGCTCTGGTGACTCCGAACTTACAGGAAGTTTTACTCACTACTCGTGGCTTCTAGGAGTACGTCTGGCCCGTGAGGACAGCCAGGGCTAAGAGCAGCTCTCCTGTGCGGAGGCCTGTGCTGAGCCTGCCATGTGCTCAGTCCTTTGAGGGAAAACTACCACTTGACCTTGGGGGAAACTGAGGCTCAAGGAGGCAGAGAGACCAGCCCAACGCCAGAGCTAATCGGCGCAGCAGCCGGAGTTTAACCCCCTGCTGTTCTAAGTTTTTCACTATTTCTTCCTCCATTCAAGTGGCTTTAATAGTAGTACCTTGCGCTCCGAGAAAACCTTTCCCAGATGTGCTCCTGGTGTTGGCTGGTTCTAAGAGGCACATTAAGCACGTAGCCGACCACCTCTACCCGGCAGGACTGGGAAACATGCAGCTGAGTTCTAGGTGCCTGGACATTTCTTCCCTCTCCGGGTTCATCTACCTGGGTGCTGAGGTCCAGAGGGCCTCACTGGCCACAGAAGGACAAACCAGCAACTGGAAAACATTCCTTTTCAATCAGTTTGTCCTGGACTCAAACCTGTGTCTCTCCCCCCCCACCCCCCGCCACAGAGCTATTCCTAGAGATGGAAACCACGCAGGCTGCTTGCCCCTTGGCTTCTCCTTGCAGCAGGTCTGCCGATCGCTCTCTCCTCAGAAACGCTCAGCTTCCAGAACACACTTGCCTGGTCCGCCTGCCTTCTGGCTCCCTGCCCGGCCCGGATTTGTGGATCTATCTCAGGGCTGTCCTTGTCCCCGTGTCTTCTCCTTCTTCCAGAGGTCGCAAAATGGCGGCCCGATGGCCTTGTCAGAGGCACAAGGGGATTTTGTTTGGTCCTCACAGTGTTTGTTGTTGTTGCAATGTGAATGCCACTAGGTGGGGGGAGCACTCTGCAAGTTCGCCACAGTCCCCATCACTCCCTACTGTCTTACACCCGTCCGCTTCACGCATTTCCATCACCTGCCTGGTCCCTGAAGCCATGAGTTTTCAAAAACCCCTGCTCCACATACTGCCTGGGAAACGCCACCCACTCGCCCTGGGACCACCTCCAGCGTCTCCTGCTCTGTCTTTCGCCTACACGAGGGCCACCCGGGGGGCTCGTTAAAATGGCGATTCCCAGCCTCCATCCCGCCCCGATTCCGTGCAGCAGTGCCATGGCAGGGACACTAAACTCGAATGCCGACAGGAGCCAGGCAGGCCACATAAATGAGTGAGCTAGCCAGGCAGCAGAAAAGTCGACGGCCAGAATTATCATCAAATTGTATTTTTACTGCACGATGGTGAATGCATGGAACAGAATACAAACATGGATGGTACTGGAGTTTATATTTCAAATTCAAAATTGAAAAAATACAAATTGAAAAATAGAAATATTTAATTATTAAAATTTTCTCTTTCATAATTCTTTTGCCCCTTTGATTTTGAAGCCAGACGCCTGACCTCGCCCCTTTCTACACCAAGAGGTCAGCGTCAGGCCTTGGTTGTCACGTTGGGATGAGCAGTTTAGAATTCAACCCTGAATCCTTAACTGGGAACGGTTATGTACTTTGAATCAATTCTGTAATGGAAAACCACGGTTTACAAGCGCGGGCGCCTCCCAAGCCCGTGACTCAAGACCACTGTAGGAGGCGGGGGTAGGGGCGTGACCTCCCGGTTCGGACCCCGCACCCTAGAGCCCTGTAGTTCAGCGGGAGCTGCCTGTGGTCTGCGTTCACACGATTGACAGTAACCGACGGAGCCAAACTGGACAGTGCTAGTTCATTTTCACGAAGTCTGGACGTGCAGAGCCTTTGGGGGAATCTGGTCTCGAGCCCCACCAGCTGGGTGAATATGGGCCAGGCCCCGCGTTTTGTTTCTGAAAACCAACTGCAGCGAAGGAGCTGTTCCTTGCCAGTGGCTTCCCCGTTTTTGCCAGGACCGGGCAAACACAGTCCTACATTCAAGTAGCTGTTTGTGAACGTCTTGGCAGAGAACTAGTGTTCGGAGGGTGGGGCTGGGGGGTTGTAGCCTCGACCAAAAGTCTTTGACCGACCTTCTCGGGAGATCCAGGTGTGGCTTCTGTCTCATTGCAGATGAACCAAGTCGACAGATTTCAACAGTGCGGATCCCTTCCACACCATCACGTGACGACCAGGTCACAGAGCTTCTGTCAAATACACTGGGTCAAGGTCACCGTCCACCTGCCCGTGGTTGTGATTGAAGCGCAGGAGCGTGCCAAGGGCGCCCGCGGTGTGTTCTGTTCCTTCTGAACACGGTTCAACTCCTGGCGATCGAGGCAACGAGCTGACTTGCGTCCCCGCGGAGCGCTGCCTCCTGGGATGGCCGTGTTCTGAAGAGGCCCCCTGTGACGCAGATCGTTAGCTACGACGGCCTGCGACTGTGCTTAGGCATTCTTGCCAGTCTGTGAGTATTTCTGTCAATACACACCCAAAATAGCCCATCTCCCAGCGTCGGGCCTGCCTGGCACCGCGTCACAGACTTCTCCAGTCGCATCCAAATTCTTCATACCACAAATAAATAAAGCTAACTGGGTGGTCAGAGTTCATGAGCAACGACAGAGAAGGCCACGACGGAGTCGACTCTTTCAAGCGACTGGACTTGGAAATCTTCCGGTTTCATCCTCGACTCACGGCGCAGTGCAAACGCCCATCAGGCCGAAGGGACAGTGTCAACGGGCGGGCGCGTCCGTCCAGGAGCCGCCGTCCCGCTCCTTTACAAACTCGCCATCGCTGCGAGGCTTTCGCGCCCGGGCCGTGCTGTGCTCGAGACTCGAACTGCACTCTGCGGCCACACTGCCTCTCGGACCTGCGTCCTTCCCGGGGCAAACCCTACTGACCCTTGAGGCCCTTTTTCAGCTCACTGAGGATCGCGTCTCGCATCTGTTCTGTGTACTGGTCGAAGCTCTTACTGTGCTTTGATTCGTAATGACGTCTCAGGTTGTACTCTTTCAACACAGATACGATTTTTTTGCATATTAAACACATAGGCATGCTCTTCACTTCCACAAAGAAATACGCTCGCTCCCATTTTTCTCGAAACACGTGGCCCTCTCGGTCTCTCTTTCGTTTTGCCACTTTTGATAGAGACATGGGTACAAGAAAGATTTCACTTGCCTCTGGATGCTACCAAGGAACAACCACAGCGCAAGCCCAAAGGCAATGACCCTCTGCCTCGCGGTGGGGGAGCCAAACGGGAGTGGTGGGGACTGCGGCGAACCGGAGAGCACACGCCCCATTGAAAGGGGCAGCTCCAGCCCAGTGTTGCTAGACAGAAGGGCGGGCCCAGAGGTGCCAGAACTTCTGACTTGTCAAGAGAAGAGAAGGCTGCAGATTGGGTGTGTGTGTGCGCGTGTGTATGAGGAGTGTGTGTGTGTGTGTGTGCGTGAGAGAGAGAGAGAGATAGAGAGTGTGTGTGTGTGTGTGTGTGTGTGAAGTATCCTGATTTTTACAACTAACTCGTTAGGAAAAAATGCTACGTATGCTAACACAGGGAAGGCCAAACAAAACGTCATCTGCAGAGTGGCCCACAGGCCACCAGATTGCAACCTCTCTCCTGAGATGGGGCTCAGGAATCGGATGTTAGCTGGCATCCCAAACAGTGCGGATGCTGGTGGTCCAGGCTTGGACCACGCGCCAAGCAAAGCTAGTCTAGAGTATGACAACAGACAACGAACTCCTTGCCCCCGGGGTGGGACCATCCCTGCACTCCACATCCTGTCCGTAGCCAGCTGCCCCCCACCCGGATGTTTCCGAGGACATTCTTGCCTTGCCACGTCCCAAACCTACCCCCTACCATGTTTTCCGTCTCAGGGACTGCCCCACTGTCCACCCCACCCAAAGCCCGGGAAGGTCCATCTCTGGGACCTGGGGCCAGTCTCTCCTCACGTGTGATCTTGTCTACTCCCATGACTCCAACAATCACACATACGCCGTCTCCTAACAACACTTCTGAACTCCCAACGCATCCTCTGTCACTTGCGACACTCCCCGGACCGTGCGCACTCACTGCCGTTCCCTCCTCCGGGCCCCTCACGCAGGAAGCTCCGCCATCTACCGGCGCCCAGGCCAGGAGCTGTGGCCGGCCCTGACCCCACCTGTCACCCCCAATTCCTCTGCATGGCATGCCAAGTCCCCAGACTCGCCCCTCTTGCCCCCTGACTTGGTCCAGCTGCTCCACCAGCCTCTCCCCTCCCCAGGCCACCGCCCCGGCCTCCCCCATGCATTCCTGGCCTTGTCTTGTCCCATGGCACTCGACAGTCCGGAGGCCCTGCCAGCCAGCTAGCCCAGACCGGCGCCCTGCGCGTGGCCTCCCCTGGCTCTCTCGCGTCCTCAGGACAAGCCTTGAGCCACTCAGTTTGGAACCTGAGCCTCCTCCCAACCTGGCACCCGCCTGCCTCTCCGGGTCCCTCCTTCCTCCTGCTGGGCTTGCACCTCTGAACACCCCAAACCTTCTCCTGCCCTCACACATTTGCTTCTGCTGTGCCCGCACCTAGATTACCACCTGCCTTCCTTCTCGGTCTCGTCGACTCCGAGTCTCCTCCCGGACTGCTGAGCCCAGCTGGCTCAGAGGCCTCTTCCGGGCACCCGCCCTATCTCCGCGAGGGCGCACGGCCCTGTGAGCTCTGCCTGCCTGCCTCCACGTCCCACCCGCCCCGGGCCGAAGCCAGGCTGCACCAGACTGCCTGACTCACTGCGGGGGCCCAGGCGTCACCAGCCCAGAGCCTCAGGGACATCTGCTGAAGCAAGAACAAGGACAGAGAGGTCTCCCCCAGGTCTCCTCCTGCCCAGTCCTGGGGGACGTCAGTGACGGGAGCCGGGGCGTGTGTTAAAAGGAACTTTATTGGGTGTCGGGGGTTCAGATGAGATCCATGAGGATGTCGTCCTCCATGACGCTGGGCTGCAGGCCCGGCTGGGGAACCGGGCCCCGGGGACCCCCGCTCAGCAGCATCTGACCTGGGGGGCAGTGGGGAAGGGACTGCATCTCCCAGTAGTCCCTGGGGCCCTAGAGGGCCCTGGACCTGCTTCCTCCCTCTTCCTCTGGGAACCCAAGGTAATACCTTTCCTAGGAAGCCCCAGGGAGACCCATCAGAGGGACCTTCTGGCCCCGTCTGGTCACAAATGCACTGATTCCCATGAGCCTTTAGGAGCCCATCCCCCAAACTACTTCTCTGACCCTAAGACTATATTTCCCATCAACCCCGGGACACAGAGAAAAGAAATCACAAAAAGAGATCTTGTCCCACTAGGTCTTGACCCCCTGGACTGTATTTTCCAGGAGCCCTCAGAGCTTCCCAAGAACCCTGGGGTCGGGGGAACCAGCTACCATTCTTAAATCCCAGCCTTCAGTTCCCAGGAGCCCTTGGTCTTGAGGCTCTAGCCCAGGGGCTGCTGGGATAGTCGGTCCAGACCCCTGCCCTCCCCGGGGACCTCCTTACCTGGCAGTGGAGCTCTCGGGGGAAGCTGTGTGGGCCAGGACTGGGCAGGCGGTGGGTGCAGGAGGGGAGGCCCCAGCTGGGGTTGCCCCAGACCCTGATGTGGTGGAGGCAACAGTGCAGGAGCCCCCGGTGGCTGGAGGTGGTGGAGGGAGGCTTGGGGTGCAGGCACCCCAGTCTGGGGCTGCGAGAACAAAGAAAGTGGCTCAGAGTCCCCACCCCATGGAGCAACCTCTTGCACAGAAGCTACTCAGAGAAATCTCTCCCAGTGGCTGTGGGAGGGGGGGAGGGGGTCTTTCTTCAAAGCAATCTTAGCAGAAGCCCATGTCAGACAGACAGAAGAGCCAGACTGCCTGGATCCCTTGGCAGGGCTCTATTCACACCCTCTGATCAAAGCCAACCTCCTTCCTCCCAAACAAAAGGACCAGAACCATCAGGGCCCAGGGCGCAGCCCCATGACTCCCATCTGCCCCCCCACCCCCAAGTCTCACCGGAGGTGGGTTGAGGAGGAGACTCCGCAGTTGGGGGTTGGCCCCAGGGTTCTGAGGCCGGAGGATGGGTCCAGGAGGGGGAGGGCCAGGGGCTGCTCCAGGAGGGCCTTGGGGGGCGCCTGGGGGGGCCTGGGCAGCACCTTGGGGCTGGGGCTGTCCTGAGGCTGCGGAGGCCCCCACAGTGCCCTGAGGCTGGGGCTGTGGTGGGCGGAGCTGGAGCTGGTGGGGAGAGATGGGGATAAGGGACAAGGCAGATTCCCCAGACTTCCTGGCCTCCGAGGTCAGGTCAAAATGACAGTGTTCCTTGGGGGTCTCCCCCGCCCTGGCCCTGACCCCACCAGCCCTCTCCTCACCAGATTCTGTGAGGGTCTCGCCTGGTCCTCCAGAATGGGGCCCAGCCCAGGGGGTGCCTGCTGTGCCCCCATCTGTGTGGGACAGGGAGCAGGTCAGTGACTGGGGATGGCGTTGGGAGTGGGGGCCCTGTGTTTGGGCGGGGGGAGCCTTCTGAACCTTGAAAGGGAACCCGTCGGGAGCTAGCGATGTTCTTCGGGAGCGGGTGGTCTGGGAGGTACACCTAACTCTCCCAAGCCCCCAAGAAGCGGGGCTGGGCCTCAGAGATTCGCTGCAGACAGTGAAAGGCGTACAAAGATCTCGAGAACATGTGGGGAAGGAACTGAACCCAGGTGGCCACGTCTCACGGGGCTCAGGGGCCCGGGGGGCAGGGGCGGGGCCCGGGGGGAGAGGGCCCCGGTCACTCACCCCGCGCTGCTGCTGCTCCAGCTTCTGCTGCTGGACTTGCTTGTGGTTGGTGATGACCTGCCGGATGCCGTTGACGAAGCCGCTCTGGTCGTAGGGGATGAGGCCCATGAAGATCTTCTTCTTGGACGAGTAGAGCAGCATGAGCACCCGCACCTCGCAGGGGGCCGTGTGGGGGAAGTGCACGCAGCCGGCCTGGCGGAGGATGCGCCCCAGTCACCTCGGGAGGAGGGGGAGGGGCACCCCAGCCCCGCTGGCTCCAGAAGCTCCACAGGCACCCGCGGCCGCCCTGTGCCGGACTCACAAAGCCGTTGCCCATGATGCGGTAGAGGCCTTTCAGGGACTCCAGGTCCTTGTTGGTGAAATGGAACTGCACCATCCTCGAGTTCCGGAACAAAGGGCCCAGGGTGGTCTGCGGGAGACACGCGGGCCGGCGTGCGGAGTGGGGAAGGGAGGAGCAGGGATGGAGGCAGGTGCGGGGCAGCGAGGGGACGAGGGAAGAGAACGCGACCCGCTGACCGGAGGGGCGGGCGGTGCCCCCTCGGGCCACTCACCAGCAGCTGCTGCGGGATAAGCTGCATGATCAGCTTCTGGGGCCACTGCTCCGTCTTCCTGGGGGCGAGGGGGGAAAGGCGTCAGGAGGTTGCCAGCCCGGCCCCACCCGGCCCCAGCCCTACCGTCCATCACCTACAAGTTCTCGCCGTGATTCACGTAGACCTGGCACGGCAGTGACCGGGTCAGTTTGGTGTTGGCGTCCACGGAGGCAGGTTTGGGCTTCTGAGTGGAAAAGCGGCACATGTCACGGCGAGAAGGGCCCCAAAGCCTGGGCCCCTCAACCTCTCCTGTCCTATCCTGGGGGCCCCGGAGCTCAGGACCTGCCCCAGCTCAAGTCCCACGAGCCCTGGGCCCCCCTCCAGACCAGGGGTCCTGCAACCTCTGTCCCCTCCCTGCCCTGATCCCCTCAAGCCCCATCACGCCCCAAATCTGAGACTTTTAGGTTCTGAACCTACAACACAATCCTTACTACCTCTTTCATCCTGAATTCAAGGCTTCCTTGAGACTCTCCTCAGGACCCCAAGTGCCACAACCCCACAGGGACACAGCCCAGCCCCACATCCAAACAGGCTGTGAGGTCCCCGTGGCTCTTCGAGCTACTTACCTCCTGCCACTCGAGGACCCCGCTCCAGGCCAGGAGTTTGTTGGAGACCGACTGCTGCCCCCCAAGGGCCGGGGCCCCGAGCTGGGCCGGGGAAGGGCCGCTCACCCCGCCAGGGGCCACCGAGCCCGCCTGCCGGAGGGGAGCAAGGAGGACAGTGGAGCCGGGTCAGACCGTCTCCTGGGAGGGGCGACCCGAGAGACAGACAGACCAGCAGGAAGAATGGAACTCAGGCTCCTTCTCGACACCACCGGCCGGTGCCTGGGACCACAAATGCTCTGACTCCGGAAGATCTGAGGACTCTAAGGACCCGTGACGCTCCAACTCCCAAAACCTCCTGGGGTCCTCTGAACAGTCCTCACCCGCTGGGAGCCAAAGCCCCATCATTCCGTCCCCAGACCTTCCTGCCTCAGTTGTCTGTGGCACAAGCCCCCAGAAGCCCCGAGGACCCAGGACGAGACCCATGTGCCCTCACACCCTCCTCGGGAAGGCAAACTGCTCGGCCTCGTCTCTGTAAGCAGCTGGGGGGAGTAGGGCAGCGGGGCGGGTGTGCAAGTGCCTACCATGGACGGTGCCCCAGGTTGTGCAGGGGGGGGCCAGGCCTGGGCCAGGAGCCACGGTGGAGACCAGGCTGGGCTGGGAAGCAGGGGGTGGCTTGGGGGCGCCAGGGGGCCCTGGCGGCAGAGGTGGGGCCGGGGCCTGGCTGAAGGGGGGACCCACTCCTGGAGCGGCTTGCTGGAGAGGGTTAATGGGTGAGACTGCAGAAGAGACCAAGAGAAAAGGTGGGGACAGATGTGCAGAGAGGCCCGGCTGACCCGAGCCCACCCCATGTCCCCCCCTCGGGACTCACAGCGTGGGCCCAGCCCCGCCTTCTGGTTCTTGGCGGCTTCCACTGCATTCTGGGCCGCCACCTGAGCTGCACTCAGGTTCCCAGGGACCTGGGGGTGGAAGGTGATGAGGACCACGCACTCCAGTCTGAGTGTCCCATGGGGTCACACCACTGCGCCCACCCAAGGGACAGCTATCCTGGCCATCACATCACGCAGGGTGACTCCCATCCCTGCGGAGTGATGTGATTCTCTGGCCCCAAGAGTCCCACCCACCCTGGGGTCCCAGTGGAGACTCCCCATCACCCCATAAGCCCCGACATCCAGCTAGGTCTCTCCCACAAGGCCCCAGGAGCACGTCCCCTCCCTGGCCACGTCCATACCTGATACTGCTGGGGGACAGGGGGAAGAGGCTGCTGGGGGGCTGCTGAGAGCGAGGCGCCCGAGGGTGCAGCTGGAGGCAGGGGAACAGGCTGCTTTGGCTGGAGGGGGCCTGGGGCCGAACCACCCCCAACTGAGAGCAAAGGATGGACGACGGAGTCCCATGCGAAGGGATTAGAGAGGAGAGAGAAATCTAAGTCAGAGGGAGCGGGGGTGGGGGGGTGGGGGTGGGACACACACCCCCAGTGGCTCCACTGCTGGCACTCGGGCCTCACCTGGCAGCACGAGCCCCCGCACCAGCACCATGTGCCGGGGGTCCTGGCTCACGTCTGTTGGTGGCTGCAGCGGCTCCAGCAAGGCGGGGGGAGCTGCCTTCTCGAACAGCAGCCTCAGGGCAGGCAGCTTCCGGGGAGACACTATGGAGAAGTGGATCCCTTGCTGCAGGAGGAGAGAGGCGCAGTCAGGGCAGGGCTGTCAGGAGACCCCCAGGCTACCACACCCGCTGGGCTCTGAAGCAAAACTCCCATCAGGCTTTGAGCCAAGGGACCCTGGGCCTGTATCAGCTGCCCCGTGGGCCTCTGGGTTATAGATCTTCCAAAGGAGTAGCAGAGGGGCTCGCAGCTCCGCAGACCCCAGGCCCCTCCTCCCGGAGCTCCTCCCTCAGACTCGAGTCCTCACCTCCCCTATCTTCTGCACGAGACTCTCCGTCGTGTACCCAGAGTACGTGGTGCTCTCGACGGCCGGGAGCAGGTATGGGGGCGAGTTACAGATAAGGAGGCAGACGCGATGTGTCTGGCCGCTGCCAGGGAGAAGGAAAGACTTGGAGCAGGTAACAACAGAGGCCCCGGAAAGGGACAGACCAGCCCCAGCCGAGAGCAAGTACTCCACCCTACAGGAAGTCAAGAGGAATGGCCCCACTTCACAGCTGAGAACACTGAGGCCCAAAGACGTTCATGACTCCCTCTGAGTTGCCCAGCAGGTAAGGAAAGCAGGAGGCAGACCCAGAGCAGGTTCCTCTTCCCCGTGAGGACACCAAGACCAGGTACTGGCCAGGGGACACGGCCTGGCTCCCGCCCGGAGAGCTTTCCAGGGCAGGAGGCCGTGGGTGGAGTCCCGCAGCAGACAAAGCCAGATGGGAAGAGGCACTGGGGGCCCCCCACAGGCTGGGCACACTCACATCTGCTCCCGCATCTTCTTGAAGTCATCGAAGAGCTGCAGGGCCGTGCTGAGGCCTTCTGCAATGAGGCTGCAGCTCTCGCCGCCCCCGCCCATGAACCTGCAGGGGGTGAGGCTATCAGCCCTGGGGTCCCCTGTGGCACCCAGTGCTGCCACCTCCCAGCCCCCCACCCCGCCACACCTAAAGAGCCTGAGTTCTCGTCGCCCTCCTCCCCACCCTCCACCCTGCACCTGGGCATGGGGCCACCGAGGAGTTTCCTACTCCATCCCCAGCGCTGACGCGGCGCCAGGCCTACCAAATGTGGACAAGGGCTGTTTGTCATCTCCTCTGATGGAGTCCCTCCGGCCAGAGGTCCTGCCAGATCAAGGACAGGAGAAGGCCCAGGACACCTGCCTATGAATTCGTCCTGTGCACCTCCCCTCGGGGCTGTGTGTTCCACCTTTAAAGCCAGCTCTGGCCTTAGCCCACCCTGCCAGGCCAATATGGGGGCCTCCTCTGTCCTCCAGTGTCAAGGGTTGAATTGTGTCCCCCTCCCCAAGAGATGTTGAAGGTTCTAACCCCGAATAATCCCAGAATGTGACCTTATTTGGAAACGGGTATTTACAGAGGTAAGGACACTACACTGAGGTCACAGGGTGGCCCACGTCCTTAGGGTCAAAACAGGGAAACGTGGATACAGAGGCAGACATGCTCAGAAGGAAGAAAATGTAGAGAAAGAGGGAGAAAGCCATATGGAGATCAGAGTGACACTACCACCAGCCAAGGATTGTGTGGGGACACCAGAAGCTGCAAGAAAAAGATCTTCCCCTACGGGCTCCAGAGGGAGCATGGCCCTGCCCACACCCTGATCCTGGGCTCTTGGATCCTAAACTGTGAGTCACTACCTTTCTGTGGTCCTAAGCCAACCAGTTTTGGTTTTTTTTTCTTTTTTAACTTAAGATTTTATTTATCTATTTGAGAGAGCGAGTACACCCATGCACCCCTGCACACGAGCAGGGGGAAGGGCAGAGGGAGAGGGAGAAGCAGGTTCCCCAGTGAGCGTGAAGCCCAAGGCGAGCCATGCTCGATCCCGGGACCCTGGGGTCATGACCTGAGCCCAAGTCAGACGCTTAACTGACTGAGCCCCCCAGGCCCCCCTAAGCCGATCAGTTCTTATTACTTCATTTCGGCAGCCCCAGGAAACTCCTACACCGACCCCCGCCTGCCTCTCTGCCTACCTGTGATCTGTCAAATAAATAAATAAATAATCTTTTTTTTTTTTTTTAAGATTTTATTTATTTATTTGACAGACAGAGATCACAAGCAGGCAGAGAGGCAGGCAGAGAGAGAGGAGGAAGCAGGCTCCCCGCCGAGCAGAGAGCCCGATGCGGGGCTCGATCCTAGGACTCTGGGATCATGACCTGAGCCGAAGGCAGAGGCTTAACCCACTGAGCCACCCAGGTGCCCTCTAAATAAATAAATCTTAAAAAAAAAAAAAAATGGCTAAAGGAGAGGGTGGGGCTGGCTCAGTCGGTAGAGCGCAAAGCTCTTGATCCCCGGGTCAGAGCTCGAGCCCCGCCCACTGCACGGAATTTACCTGCGCGCGCGCACGTATGCGCCTAACAAAGAGCCGCTAACCCAGCGTGTCCGTTAACACCAGAATAAAGCCAAGCTCTCGGCTGGGCATCTGGGGCCCTCCACGCGCGGGGCTCTGCCCACCTTCCTGCTCCATCCTCCTCTGGTACAAGCCGTCCAGAATGCCTCCCATGTCCCTGGTCTCCGCGCTCTGCCACATAACCAGTGTTCGGCTTGTGCTGTTTGCCGTGACCACACACACCCCTCTTCTGGCCCAGGAGGAAAATCCCTGCTTATCTATCCTATGACCTCCCCAGCCCGGCATCCCCTCCTCCGGGAAGCCTGCCTCAGCGACCACCTGGTTTTAGGGCCCACCCTCAATCATATCCCATGTCACTGGACGCCGCGACTGTCAGGCTTTCCTCCACAGCGCACCTGACGCCCGGAGCCAGGGCAGCCTGCAGTGAAGGGGACCAAGCGGTCAGTCCGAGGCGTCTCCAGCTTGTGTGCAAGGTGCCCGAGGACACATGGGGCCTCCTGGATGTGCGGGCCACAGCAGCTCGACCCCTGCTCCCTTCCCAAGTTCTCATGCCAATTCTTACCAGCTGCAGGCTTCTGCCCCCTTCTCGCTCTAGGCCCTGTGACCCCGAAGCCTTTGTTCTCCCTCTCCGGGCACGTAGGCCCCACTGCTGCTTCTTATCCCGACCCCCGCTCCCAGCCCTGCTCTTCCCTACCACCGAGACTGTTCCGCACGAGAACCAGAAGGCCAGGGTTGGGAGGCAGCCCCCAGTGACGGGACGGACCCCGCACCCGCCCTGCTGCAGCTTCCTGTTCCCGAATAAATCAAACTGCTATTTTCACGAGGTTTTTGGAGCCAGAAGTGTCCTGGCTGGGGCTGGCCAGAAGGCGGTGGGGAGTGGGGGGGACACAACACACACAGATATGGAGCAGCTGCTTCACGTGTGCAGATCTCTCTTTAGGGACGTGAAAATGTTTTGGGGCCATGTGACTGCCCAGTGTACACACACTAAATGCCACGGAACTGCTCACTTCAAAATAATCGGCTCTGTTATGCAAATTTTACCACAATTTAAAAAAGCAACATATGAGGGAACGTGTGATCGTCCAATCACTTTGAGATCCTGGAACTCGCTTTTCTCTTCCAGAGCTAGGCTGCCTGTTACCCACTCAGAGAGCTACGGAACGCATATTTTGTCTGAGAAACAAGAAAGGCTGGAAAAATGGGGAGCAGAAATAAAACCTGGTCTGTTCCAAAATACGTTTTGAATACCATCGAGTTTACAATAAGCCTTAATTCCAAACGAAGCCCTCACCGGTGCACACACGAAGTAAGGAGGCAGTGCTTGGTGCCAAGGGTGGGCTCGGCCTCTTACTGTTTCCCCTGCCTCTTGCCGAACCACCACCCCTCCCCGCCCCAGTCTTCACTGCCCACCCTCACGGGTAATGAGCCTTTGGAGGCCCCCCCAAGGTACCGGTCAAAATGAGTGACTGAACAGCCACCAGGCTCAACCCGCCTGGCCAGTCACACTGCTGTGAACACCACCAGCTCCAAGAGGGCCAGGACCTGGCCTGCCTTATATCCCCAAGGCCTCAGCGCCCAGGACAGTTTGCTCCACAAACACCTGTTGAAGGAACGAATGAATGAACGAACAGAAGGTCACAGTGCTAGGGAGAAAACACTCAGGGCTCCTTTTCCTTCTATCCTTTCTTTCTGATTCTGGGTCATTTGCTGTAGGGGAGGAGATTAAAAAAAAAAAAAAAAAAACACAACCCAACCCCACCCCTCTTGAAAGAAAGGAAATAGAACAGCAGAAATAAATCTTCCCAAAGCAAGGACGTTTCACAAATCACACTGCATGCTTTGTTCCTTAAGTTACGGGCGTTCCGGAGGAAGATAAGATTTCTTCTCCCAGTGTGAACAAAGCCCACAGACTTTCTTTGTGATCTCTGTGCCAGACCAGCCGGCGAAGTCACAGAAAGTGAATTTAGATGGTTACACAGGACTTGCTGAAACAATGTGCACTGCCAACGTTTATCAGCTGACTGGGAGGATTCCAAGGTGAGCACACAGCCTACAGAGCTCCTTCATTTGGCTAAAGCTGATTCTAAGTTGACTAAAGAGGAGGCGTGGATGCGCGCCAAATGTGCTCAGAAAGCATTTCCCTCTTCTCTTCCACACACTTTGGAAAGACTTATTTACTTAAATATTTTTAAGATTTTTAAAAAGTTTTTATTTACTTATTTAAGTCCTCTCTACGCCCATCATGGAGCTCAAACTCAACCCTGAGATCAAGGCTAGCAAGTTCTTCCGAGCCGGCCGGGTGCCCCGGAAAGCTGTAAATAAGGAGGTTTAACTGCGTGTCCTGACAAGTCAACACCACCAGAACTTTTGGTTTCTTGGTGATTATCTTCTCCATGGCTTTCACTCATTTATTTACTGTCAAGGTCTCCTGAGGCCTTTTGGGTGCCAGGCCCCAGCTGGCAACAAAAAAGCAGAAGGGACACCAGGGACCTAGATGGTCACGGTTCAGAGGCATGGGAGTATGACAGGGCAACAGCCAGGAGCGGCAGGCACAGAGGAGGGAGCGACTGGGTGCCTGCCAGCATCCGGGAAGGGACACCGGAGCTGGGTCTTGCAGCTTCGAGGGTCACCAGGAAGAAATCAGGCCAGACCCTGTGCTCGGAGCTAGGCACCTAAGGGACATCACACTTGAACTTGGGCCTCAAAGAGCCCCCCAATTACCATTATTCAAGTCTCACAACAATCCATCTCAGTACTTCTCAGCTGGGGTGGGTTTTGTCCCCCCAACTCGCCACCCAGAGGACATCCGACCATGTCTGGAGACATTTTTGTGTGTCACAACTTGGAGGTGGCTCCTGGCACCTGGTAGCTAGAGGCGAGGGAGAATACTGAGCTCCTGGGAGTGTGCAGGACAGCCTCTGCCACAGTGAATCACTTAGCCCAAAGTGTCAACAGTCCGGAGATCAGGAAATGCCACTCTGTCCTGACTACCAGCTTGAATGACCATGCGGGGTCAAACCTGGGTGTCAACTTCCCAGGGAACGGGCAGCCCCCAGTCCAGCACGTGCAGTCTGGAACCAAGCAGGCACTCAGCAAGCACGTGCTGAACAAATGTAGGAAGAGAACAGCAGCCATGAAACGGTGCCGTTTAGTGAACTCAAACCACAGACCAGACACCGAGCCCGGCAGGATGAAGGCACCACAGGAAGATGAGCTCCTCTGATCCTCTAAGACCACAGAGATCTGGACTGCCATCATCCCCTCACCGACCAAGAAACCGAGATGTGAACCAACAGCGAACACAAACACAGCACTTAATACATCCCAGGTGCTGTCTGAAGGGGTCACCAACTCATTTAATTCCCAAAGAATGCCTATGAAGTCCTGGTAGCCAGTGCCCCCCAGTGCCCCCCACCTCGTGGTATTTTACACCCTCGGCATTCATCTCCGCGCACACTCCCCGCACTGAACAGGACTGGCTGCCGTACTAAACAGAATGCGGCAGAGATAATGCTGTGTGACTTCCAAAACTTGATCATAAAAACCCACGTAGCCTCCTCTTTGCTCCTTCTGTTGTGCTGCTGAGGGAAGCCTGCTGCCACGCTAGGAGGCCACTCCGCAGCCACAGAGTGAGCCACCTTGACAACGTTCGGGCCAGGCCCCTGGATAACAGCCACCTCAGGGGACCCTGAGCCAGAACTATCTGCTGAGCCGGTCCTGAATTCCTTACTTACAGAGCTGGCACAGAATAATTAACATTTACGGTCTGGACCCACTAAGTTTTAGGGCAATCTATTACACAATTGAGAATAAATAATACAACAAATAAGTAAGTACTATAACACCCCACCCCCAAAGAGATAAGAGATAAACTACAGTAGACACAAAGGGAACAGGGACTCCTCTGAGTCCGGGAGTTTTGTCGTGATTTAGCTGTGATCTAACCCGTTTAGCTGTGATCTGACCGCAGGCTGTCTGCACCCGCACTGGGCCGGCAAAGGGAACATTCCACATCCCATCCTAAGCACAGAGGGATCTGTCCTGGCCTAGGCCCCACCCCGCCTCGCACTCAGGCTTCAAAGGGCCCCGCTGAAAAAGGAAGACTGGAGTACAGATGAGAAACAGCCAAAGAACATGGAGAATCACGCAGAACGTGGTGGACCCCATAGTACCAGATGGGCGCTGGAGCTCAACAGGCCTCCCAAACTGGGAAGATTTTTCTACTTCAACACAGGATGGCAAAACCGCTGAGCACACAGAACCCACCACGGAAGTGACTTACGGACAAAAACAATCCCTCTCAGCCCTTTCAGCCACCCAGTGTGGGGGACGGTTCCTGAAGCTCAGACCAAGCCACCATCCATTCATGATCCCTTGCAGGGTCCCCCAACCCACCGCAAGCACAAGAAAAAGCTCACTTAATGCCATCGAGCCAGGTGACAAACTCATAGGCGCTGCTGGTGGGAGCATGACACTGTACGTAGGACTCAGGAGCGCAGTCCACCGTGTTGAACACCACGAGGCTGTACTGGGTCCCCCCATACTGGGAGGAGAGGACAGAGGAACTTTTCACCTGGGACCCCAGTCCACTTCCCTCCTCCCTCAGACCCAGAAGTCCACCCGCAGCTCCCTCCTCCCTCAAACCCGGGAGTCCGAGCCCCGGCTCCCTCCTCTCTCCTCCCTCGGACCCAGGAGTACGGTCCCGGCTCCCTCCTCCCTCAGACCCGGGAGTCCCGTCCCCAGCTCCCTACTCTCTCAGACCCAGGAGTTCGGTCCCCAGCTCCTCCTCCCTCAGACCCGGGAGTCCAGACCCCCAGCTCCTCCTCCCTCAGACCCAGGAGTCCCAAGACTCACGTCGCCCCCGAAGTCCGTCTCGGCAGGAGGACCACCATTAAAATACCTGTGAGGGTCGGAGGCAAAAGGTCGGGGTCAGGCAAAAAGCCGTGGAAAACTAAAGTCGGAGGGCCGGACTGAAGTCGCGGAAACGGGACTCACTCGATGGCCGGAAGCAGGTAGTGCTTGCGCAGCCCTTCAAAGTAAGGCCCCAGGTTGGCCGTGCCCTCAATCACAAACACCACGTCAGCCACGAGGCCCCCGGCGCGGGCCGGGCCCTCCGACCCGGGGACCATTCCCCTCGCCCCAGCCGCCACCGCCGCCACCGCCGCCGCCGCCGCCGCAGCCGCTGCGGGATGGGCGGAAGTGCGCCTGCGCTGCGCGTGCACCGGCGCCGGACGTCTTAGCGCCGCCGCTCGACGCGCCTGCGGCCATGTTTGTGCGGGGCACTCAAGGCGCGCTGGTTCTGTGTCCATCCTCGTTGGTACGCACCGCGTGCAAGATTAAGAGCACCGCGAACCCCTTCGGGGGCCTGACGGGGAAGACTGAATCATTGTCAGGATGTGGAGTGACATATATTGAGAGAGGAGCAGTCGGCCGCCATCTTTGAGCGAGGCGCCAGTTCCGACTCAGGTCTCAGTGGGAGGGTTAGGAGATCTGGTTGCTATGCAACGCACACGCTGCCCTAGTTTTCTATCGGAGAGATTAGGTTTCTAGTTAAATTTTTTCTGGCGCGGGGAGATTGGAGGGGGAGGGTCGTGTGAAGGATCCAATCACGTCCTCTGAAAAGGGTTACTAGGCAACGCTCGAGGTTGCCTTCCACGGGGGGGGGGGGGAGTGCAGCTGTTTTTCCCCCTCTAAGAAGCCTAATTCCAACCCAAGTGGCGGTTGCTAGGCAACACCTGATTGTTGTTTTCTGGGAGAGCGGCCAGAAACTGGCCTAGAACATAAATACATTCCAGGTGGATTAAAAATGTAAATGCAACAAATGAAACCTTAAAAATAGCCGAAGGAATAAAGAAACACACTGTACAATCCTGAAGCCTGGAAAAAGTTTATCATCACAGCAAAGCCAGAAAACGTAAAATATTGATCAATTTGTCCAAAAGACTATAAACCGAGTTGGAAAAAACACGATAAACTGGGAAAGTCATTTGTAACATATATGTTCACTGAAATTTACTACATAAATACATCTTACTCATCAATAAAAACTTAGGAAAATAGAAATATATATTTTTTTAGTGGTAGGGAGACTCTCCCCCACACAGAACCATTTAAAATGGCAAGTAAAAATCTGAAAACTGCTTATCTTCACCAATTAAAAAGCATTTTACCTTTTTCACGTTAATTAATATTGGAAAAAATAATGTCCGTGAGGGCGGGAGAGTGTGGGCTCAGACACAGTCTAGAAGGGCTATGAATCAGCACCACTTGCCCCAGTGTATTTTGGCAATGTACTTTAAGATAAAACGGTGCCCTCCTCTCACATACAGTCGTATTGCCATTTTGTCACGTTTACCTTTTCCAACCCTTTTTGCTTTTATTTTCCTTGCTGAAGCCTTTTAAAGTAGAGCCCCAACATCCTATCATATTACTTCTACATCCTTGGCAGACCTCTCTAAAAAGTTACAGACATGGGCACCTCGGTGGCTCAGTCCTTAAGCGTCTTCCTTCACCTCAGGTCATGATCCCAGGGTCCTGGGATCCAGTCCAGAATCAGGCTTCCTGCTCAGCAGGAAGCCTGCTTCTCCCTCTCCCAGTCCCCCTGCTTCTATTCCCTCTCTCGGTGTGTCTCTCTGTCAAATAAATAAACAAAATCTTTTTTTTTTTAAAGACTTCATTTATTTATTTGACAGAGAGAGATCACAAGTAGGCAGAGAGAGAGGAGGAAGCAGGCTCCCCGCTGAGCAGAGAACCCGAAACGGGGCTCGATCCCAGGACCCCGGGACCACGACCCGAGCCGAAGGCAGAGGCCCCAACCCACTGAGCCACCCAGGCACCCCTAAACAAAATCTTTACAAAAAAAAAAAGTTACAGGCATTTTCGCATACAACCACCATACACCCCCAACAAAATTATTTCTTGGTGTCATCTAACACTAAATCCACAATCAGATTTTCCCAGTTCTCTCAAAATGGCTTTTTCCCATTGTTTATCTGCATCAGAATCCAAAGACCAAACACATATTTAGACATTATATCTCTTAAATTTCTTTCTTTCTTTTTTTTTTTTTTTAAGATTTTATTTCTGGGACGCCTGGGTGGCTCAGGTCATGATCCTCTGCTTAGCGGGGAGCCTGCTTCCTCCTCTCTCTCTCTGCCTGCCTCTCTGCCTACTTGTGATCTCTGCCTGTCAAATAAATAAAATCTTAAAAAAAAAAAAAAAATCAAATCTAGGAGCGCCTGGGTGGCTCAGTTGGTTAAGTGACTGCCTTCAGCTCAGATCTTGATCCTGGAGTCCCGCACTGGGCTCCCTGCTGCGCAGGGAGTCTGCTTCTCCCTTTGACCCTCCCCCGCCTCAGGCTCTCTTTCTCTAATTCTCTGTTTCTCAAATAAACAACAAAAATAAAAATAAATTTAAAAAAAAAAAAAAAGAAATCAAATCTAGAGAGGCACCTGGATTGCTCAGTAGGTTAAGCCTTGTCTGACTCTGGATTTCGGCTCAGGTCCTGTTCTCAGGGTTGAGAGACTGAGCCCCGTGTTGAGCTCCGGGCTCAACCGGGAGTGTACAGGATATTCTTTCCCTCTGCCCCTCCTGTTCATGCTCTCTCTGTAAAATAAACAAATGAATCTTAAGAAAGAAGAAAGAAAGAAACCAAATCTAGAATGCAGACAAAACATGTCTGAAAGGAAGCAATTTTTTTTAAACATTACTATATATTTCGTAAATACATTTGGTTGAACGAAGGCCCCTGTTCTCACAAAAGAGAAAAGTTCTAGCTCATTATATTCAGAACTAAATGAAATTTTACTTTATCAGTTTAAACACACAGAAGAAGGAAACTAATGTATGTCAATCCGGAATTGGCTAAATTGATTTTGTTAGATCCATAATGTTGATTATAAAAAGACATTTTTTTAAAAAACGACATATATTTATTTGGTCTAATGAGGAAAAGTTTGAAGGCAACATTAACATAGTGATCATATTTGTCAAATTGTGTTAATGTTCTGGGTTAAAATGTCAACTTTTTATTTCGGGAAAGGTTTGGGAAGGAATATTTTCACGTTCGGCATGCTGCACTAAAGTGCATAAATTTATTACAGAAAGAATCTTATTTTTGTCATTCTGGAAAATAAAGGATTTCATCCTTCTTTTTCTAATAACAAAAACAACCATCTCATTTGGTGGTTACTAGGCAACGTGGCCGGACCAAACCATCCCGCGAGGGTGAAGGGGGAGATGGTATTTCTCTCGGTTTTGCTCGAGATTCGTCATGCGGCCATCTTTGAGTGGGGCACAGCTCTCTGTAGCTTAGACTGGAAAGTGGACGGAATGCAGTTGCCAGGCAACGCCTCGGTGCAGCCACCATCTTTGAGTGGGGCACAGCTCTTTATCAATTTAAAATGTAAAAACATCTTAGTTTACCTGAAGCTCGCCAGACAACGCCTTGGCGCCGTCCTTACCTTCAATCCAGGCTCTTCATTCTCTTCTTTAAATAAATGAACAATTAGGGAGAAACTACGAAGCTTTACAAGTACGATGGGTGCCATCTTTCTTAGGGGCATATGACTTCCGGTCGAGGCGGAAGAGCACCTAAACGGCTCGGGGGAGGTACTGGAATAGAGACTGAGGATGGGTTTGAGTTGGGTGAAGAAGGCGGGAAATCTACTTCTCTTCCAATCAGCTCGCTATCTCGCCCTCCGGCGGCTTCAGACCGCCTGCCGGCAGCCCGACTTAGCGTGACCACGGGCATGCTCCAAGGTGGTCGCTGACTGCCCCCACGAGGGGACTGGAGAGGGTTCCAGATGGGCGAGGAGGGGACCGAGGGCACCGTACATCTGCTTTGCCTTGCGGCCTCCAGCGGAGTCCCCCTGTTCTGCAGAAGCTGCCGCGGCGGTGCCCCCGCCCGCCAGCAGGTGGGGCTCTGGACCCCTGGATCTTCAAAATAGAAGGGGTCGTCAGGGGAGTAGGATCTGGGGAAGTTTCAGAGGCGAGTTTAGAGGGCCAAGGGTGCAATGACTGGTCTTAATAATCTTGATTCCTAGAAGAGGAGGGCCAGGGGATGTAGAAAGAGGAGGGGGCTGGGACCCTGGACACTTGGGTCCCAAGGTGGAGGGGACTGGGGGCTCCTGTCTAATGTCCCCAACTTTCCGCCAGCTTCCGTTCTCTGTCATCGGTTCCCTCAATGGAGTACACATGTTTGGGCAGAATCTCGAGGTGCAGCTGAGCTCTGCAAGGACGGAGGACACGACCGTGGTGTGGAAAAGCTTCCATGACAGGTCTCCAAGCTGTAGCTTTTGGGGCAGGGCCAGGGGCTGGGCGATGGCCCCTGTTGAAGATGACCCTGAGGCTTACCAGGTCTCCAAGGCCAGCTGTTTACTTGGCTGTGGAATCTTCAACAAGCCAGTTACCCTGTCTGATCCCTGCATTTCTCTGTATGAGAAGCAGGTTGTGCCAGCTGGCGAAAGATGTAGCTTACATCCAGGGTCAAGGGCAGACTCTCTCCTCACAGTCCTGCTTCCCTGGCCTGGAATCATTCTTTCTTCTCACCTTCCTTTCTCACAGCATCACCCTCATTGTGCTGTCATCTGAGGAGGGGACCTCGGAGCTGAGGCTGGAGAGGCTACTCCAGATGGTGTTTGGGGCCATGGTGAGACTCCCCAGCCCTCTTCCCCAAACCCAGAAGTCTGAGCTCTCAGCATCCTCCTCCCTCACACCAGGAGAGGAGTCCAGATCCCCAGCTCCTGCTCTTTTATTTGGTTCTTCTAGGTTCTTCTTGTAGGACTCGAAGAACTGACCAACATCCGCAACGTGGAGAGACTGAAGAAGGAGTTAAGGGTGAGGCTGCAGTACGCGAGCACAGAAGTTAGGATCCCAGGTCACAGATATTCAGAAACTACACTTCCCAGCTGTCCCTGGGGCAGCCTGGTCAGCTGACCCTAGAGCCAGGCCCAGCAGGGCTAGTTTTCTTAAGGCAGATCTGGGGCCCACCTGGGTCCTAAACTCCTCTTCCCTTCCATTCCTAGGCCAGTTACCGCCTCATTGACAGTTTCCTGGGGGACTCTGAGCTCATCGGGGACCTGACCCAGTGTGTGGACTGTGTGGTTCCTCCAGAGGGGTCTCTCTTGCAGGTACGAGAATGCATTGGGGAACCCTTCAGCTTGTCACTGGCCCTGGCTCAGT